TCTTTCCCTTCCCTGAAAGCTACCTTAGCCTCACCCCTTTTCCTGGTTCCTTCTGTCCTTTCCATCCACCAGTCAATGTATCATCTGTATGCCTGTCTTCAATTTTCACTCCTCTCCCCTTGGCAGTCTTTCCTTGGAAAAAATCTAGCCCATTTGTAGGGTAGGCTAAATTGTGTGGAATAAGCCAGGTGGGGCCAGTTGCACAGTGGGAAACCTGCAAGGACTTGCAAGGAGTACCCTATTTGCACATGTATCACCTTCTCCACACTGTTTCTTCTTTCCTGGTCCTGGCAACTGCCAAATCCTCTCCTGTCTTGGAAATTCCCCCCACCCTTGATGCTATGTACAGTGTGCTGCTATCACCTGGAAGTAACGTCAGCACATCAGTGACATTGGTGGGTGACACTGTGCTTTTTGGGCAAAATTCTATGATTTGAGGCTGTTTTTACCATAGAGTTTTGCCCAAGAAACAGAGTGTCATCCCTGCTGTCACCAGTGCGCTGATGTCACTTCCAGGTGACATCACCATGTTGCTCGACATTCCCACCCACCCCGGGACGCCCTTCAACCTCCCCTGTTGGCACAACGAAGGGATCTGAGAACCATATCCCCAGCCCCTCTGTCCCTATCCCCCAAAGAAGGGATTGAGAGAGGAAGAGGCACTACCTGACCCTTCCTTGCCCTTCTGTAGGGGAGAGGGAGGAAAGAAGAGGCAGCTTGCCTAAACAATTAGCTGGGAACTGCTGTCTTTGCTTTGCAAGAGGTTTGAGCATTTTGGGTTCAGCCCTTCTGTCACACAGCTGACCTGGCCCAGGTGAAGAAGGAAGACCATCAACCCACTAGAATAATCCTGGTGCTCTTAATGGCCAATCCACACCTTTCTGTGAGGAAAATTAGGCTGAGAATGTAGAATTAGCCCATGGTCACCCAATGAGTTTCCATGGTTGAATGGCAATTCAAGATCCTTGTCTGAAACTGTAACCCAGAGGGGTCAAACTCATTTGTTACAAGGGCTGGATCTGACATAAATGTCACTTTGTCAGGCCGAGCCATGTGTGCCATAAAATATAATGCCAGGTATGGGAGGTATAAACTTTATAAAGGACACAGGCAAACCCAATTAATAATATTATTTTTTACTCAAAATACAAACATGTTTAAAACATTAACACTCAGTAAAGTATTTCCCTGATGCCCACCCTCCCACTTCCACGCCCATTACTCATAGCACTGGGACAGTATACAGGGACATAATGCACAGCCTCGGTCATCTGGCAATAAAGGCAATGACCAGTTTCTCACGGGCTGATTCCAGCCCATGGGCCGTATGTTTGACACACCACTGTACCACACTGGTTTTTACAAGGTGGTTGCTGTTGAACAGTAACAGACAGCCAGGCATAGAAGTTGGAAGTTGGGTGGTAGCAAGTTACCTAATGAGTCCTCCCTCAAAGGCCAAGATTTATGTAAACTCAGATTTGGCTGGGTTGAGAATTAGATGTATTGATGATGATGACTCATGATGATATATAAATAAATAAACTAAAGCCTCATTTGAGAGCAAGCATACCTATGAGCTAAGCCATTAATCTTAGTAGGTTGAAGATTGTCAAATAGAGTCTATTGTAATTTGGTAAACACAGTAAAATGAAGTCTCCTTTGGATTCTATTCTATTAATTCTTTATTCTTGTTTGCAAGTTCTGATGTAATTTGGGAAACAAAACCCAAGAAAAAGTTAAGATGGAAGCCTCTGAGTGTGAAGCAAACTGACAAGCTGGAGAAAGAATTTAATGACTACTGTGGCCACTCACCAACGGAAAATAAAATAATCGAGTTGGATAATAATGTTCCGGTAATTCCAAGAAAACATTTTTAAAAATTAAATTGTAACATGCACTTTAATTTTACAGGTTAATCTCTTTTACTAGAGAGGTGCAGATGATGTTTTGGCTATCATCTGTCTTTTTCTTGCACTCCTCCCTGTTCTCTGCTGTGTGTTATCCCTGGCTCTTGTACCACAGCAAATGCTTACAGCCCAAGCAGTTAGCTGCCCTGAGCCCATCCGCGGGGAGGGTGGGATAGAAATGTAATAAATGAAAAAGTTGAACAATAAATAAATGAAAAAGTTGTACAATAAAGAAGACAAAGACTTTTTTGAAGAGTGGAAAGATTTTAAAGAATATTTAGAAAGAAACTGGGACGTTAAAAACACTATATTGTATTTAGAAAATTATTAGAGTTGAAATTTAGAAATTTTTGAAATGTAAGAGAGATAATTACCTTGAAATATAAATATGTTTGGGGGTAGGGGGAAGCATTGCGGGAAGCCAACCAAAGGGGGGAGGGAGGTAATGTGTGAAATGGATATGAAGAGGGAATGTTTTTAAATGTTGAACATGTAAATCCAAAATAAAAGTTTTTTTGGGGGAAAAAAGAAATGTAATAATAATTTTTTTAAAATGATCAGAAGTAAGTCCCACTGTAACTGTTCATAGGATTATAACCTTTGCCCCCCCCCCGGGTGGGAAAAGGACAAGCCATGCTATGTGACCTCTTCCTATTTCAAAAAAATCCCAGATCTGAATACTTTGCTGGTATTAGGATGTGGGTTTTTTTTTTTTGAAATCCCAAATTTTTGGGGGGTCCAATAGACACAAACCAAAAGGGGGGATTGCTCACCTCTATACTCCACTGAGGTCCCTGACCCCCCACCCCAGGTTCCACTCCCAGATCTCCAAGAATTCCCCAGCCCAGAGCTGGCAACCTTATCCCTCACCCCCTTTTTTTAACTTAGCAATTCAAGCTATCTTTGGAAACAAGCTTATATCAAATTTATCAGAATTTTAAATGGTTATTTGTTCCCCAGTTTTCCTTTATCTATCAAAGTTTCCATTTAAATAAAAAGATGTTCCATGTGTAAAAATTAAGATAATCGCCAATTATTTCCAAAAGTGACAAGGTGGAACACTTACTTATCAATTATGCTTCTTTGATGTATTTAACAGTGGGCTTGCATGCTGATTTTCAGCAGGCCTGTAGCTACAGTGGGGCTATTTGAGTCTCCGCCCCCGCTCTTAAAGGCACAGCCCCACAAGAATTTATCCGTTGTTTTTTTTTTTTTTTTTTTAAATTTTTTTAAACATTTTTTAAAGGGGCACTCTTCTGCATCACACTGAACCACACACCAATAACACAGGAGATTGCCAGGTCCACCCTCCGTCCTGCCTTCCCGGCTTTCGCCATGCCTGACCATTTGTTTTTAAAAACTGAAGCTCCACCACACACAGGAGATCTCCAGGTCCACCCTCCATCCTCTGCCCTCCTCACCTCCAATTGGGAAGTTTCCAGTCATTGTTTAAAAACATTTTAACATTCTTTTAAAGGTTCACACTCCCAACCAAGAGCCTCTTGCTTGGCCAGTTCTTTCTAGCTGCACCCCAAAAGCAAGGATCCCACCTCCTTTCCCCACCCCTTGTCTTTCCACCACTTCTGGGGCTCAGCTCCTGCACACTCAGCGTGGAGCAGCAGCAGCAGGAAAGCAGGGGGAGTGGGAGCTTGTCAACTCAATAGCGCTCCTGCTTCCAACATGGTCATGCGAGCCCAGCTGGGTAAGGACAGAGGGAAGGGGGCTGGCGAGGGCTCCCCTTCTTAAGCTGCCCTGCTGGCTCCCCTGGAGACTGAACCTGGCAGCAGACAGGGAAGGGAGAAGAAGGAGGAGGAGGAGGAGGAGGAAGAGATTGGATTTATACCCCACCCTTCACTACTCGAAGGAGTAGGCTTACAATCTCCTTTCCCTTCCTCTCCCCACAACAGGCACCCTGTGAGGTAGTTGGGGATGAGAGCTCTTTTGAGAACTGCTCTTGATAGAACAGCTCTGAAAGAACTTGTGACTGACCTAAGGTCACATCAGCATCTGCACGTAGAGGAGTGGGGAATCAAACCTGGTTCTCCCAGATTAGATTAGAGTCCGTGCTCCTAACCACTACACCAAACTGGCTCTCAGGTAGGGTCAGGTAGGCCAGTACCCTACTGGGGGATCAGGTGCTGCCTTCCCTCTCAAATAGGGTCGGGTAGGCCAGTACCCTACTGAGGGATCAGGCAATACCATGCTGCCTTCCCTTCCAGGGGACTGATAGGGGGACAATAAGATATCAGCTAATCTTGGCTGCTTCTGTGACAGTAAATGACAGAAAAATAATGGCAGCCTGACCAGAAAAGGAATTGCCCCACAAGCCAAAGGATCCTGGCTACAGGCCTGGGTTTCAGTTCATTCCAAAATGACTCTTGAATATGGGAAGATTTGGTGCCGTCTCTAGGGAGGCAGTCCTCAGATTCTGAGAGACACAAATGCAGCACTCCTCCTACTGACTTTATTTAGAAATGCTACTTGTTTTTTAAACTCAATTAAGTTATGCAAAAACGTGGATGTTTTTTGTAAAATGCATTGTATATTTACAGAATCACCATTCATATCACTGGTTGTACAATAAGGTGATACTACTCTTTAATAACCAACCTATTTTTAAAGGTTTCCATCATTATCATTACTGCTTCCAGGGGTCATTTCGTAGAAAAAGAGCTAGGGGAACTCATTAGCATAAGTCATTAGCATATGCCACACCCCCTGAAATCAGGGGGCCGGCGGTGGACCTGCAAGGCCGGCGGGAGTGCAAGGAAGCCCCGCGAAGGCCCTCCCTGACTCCAGGCAGGCAGGGGTGGGGGGAGGCAGGGAGGAAGCAACTTACCTACCCTCTTCTCCTGCCTCCTCCTGGCTGAATGAGGGCCGGAAGCGGGGCAGCCGCACGCAGGGGGCGGGGCTTCGTCATGTGCCCCGCCCCCCGTACCTCACCCGGGGGAACTGCGATCCCCCGCGATCCCCCCCGAAATGACCTCTGGCTGTGGGTATGAGTTAGCTAAAGTTAGGCAGTCTTGAGACAAATTGATTTCAAGTGGAAGGTTAAATACAAGCTTAAATGTCTCCTAATGAAATCAAAGGGACTTAAAGGTGTTTGTATTTGGCTGAATTGTTCCCTGTGTTTTATTTGAAATATTTTTCAGCATTAAGATGAGGACCTTTCTTTTTAATATGTCAGGTCTGTTTGACTCCTACTGGTAATAATATGAAAATACTCCAGCCAAATGAAATCCCTCTGAGAAGAAGTTTTTTACCAGCATTGAAAGTTCAGTACAGTACATCTGAACATCAGTCATCCTTTAGAGTCCAGATTTATAGGATTCAGGTATGTTTGAGAAGTTGCCAACGAGTGTTCAAAAACCTTTGGGATGACACCAGATCAAGGCAAGAGCTATAATATACAGCCTTTTTTTAAAAAAAATGTGCATTTAATTTAATCTTTAAACTATAATTTTGAATTTTTCTTGACAATATAATGCTTCAGTAATTGCATTACTCTGAAGCATTTTTAAAATCATTATCTTATTATCAAATGATAAAAACAATATTTTTATGATTGGTGTAATGAATTAATTAAAGAAATGTGCTGAGACCCAAAGTTCAGGATGCAATCTTTATTAAATAGAAAAGCTAATAGGAGTTTAGATGCTAAGCAAAATATTTTACAAGATTTATTTTTCTTTTGAAGTTATAATTTGTTAAGCAGAAATACCTGTAATTTAGGACATTTGTGAAATCTTTAATACAAAAGCATTTGCAAATGAACATCTAACATGCACCATCTTATACTGTTATTGCCCCTATCAGATACAAAACCAGATTCCTGGAGCCATATTTCCCTTTGTGTTTTATCCTATTAAACCTCCCAAGTCCATCACTTTGGATTCAGGTTTGTTAATAACATTTAATGCATTATGTTTTCTATGCATTTTTAAATCATTTAGACAAAACAAAATAAAGATCCTCTGTTTAAATAATCATTCATAATTAGATTAGGAAGGAAATTGGATTTAGTCAGTAGGTTTGGGTCTTGATTTCTAAATATTCTGGAACATGGCTTTTCTGGAAATATATTGGATAAACAGATGACTTTTTTGTTTCACTTGAATACACTGTTCGTCCGAAAATGAATAGTTGGATTTCAGCCTCCTCCTGAAGTGTAGTAATCTGTAGTCGTCATCTGTGAATGTTGTCTGACTGGGTCAGCCTTTTGTCTTTCCTCAGGAACTGCCCTAACTAAAAACACCCGAGCTTTCCTCCAGCCGGTTAGGTTTAGGTCACATCTGTAGACAGTAAGTTTTTGAAACAAGAGTGCTGTGCCCAGGCTGGGTTGGGAGCAGCAAAGAGTTCAGTTTTACAAGCTAGTGTCTTTAGGGAAGCTTAAATGATTCAGCTGAAGTTAAGCAGTCTTGAGACAGATTTTTTTCAAGAGGAAGGTTAAGCACAAGCTTAAACGTATCATATTGAAATCAAAGGATTTAACGTCATTAGTGGTTGCTTGAATTGTTCTTTGTGTTTTATTTGAAATATTTTTGGCAGAGTAAAATTGGAATCTGAAACTAATTTATATGTTGGACAGACAGCACCTGTGACTTCCCTAAATGTCCAATCAATGCACATCTGCTAAATTCAATTGTGAAGGTATTTTTGGAAGTGCGCTTAATCATTTTAGTTGTTAGCTTCATTTCCTCCCATATGCCTCTACCCCCTTGGACCTTTGGTTTGTCAGACCTTTCCATTATATCCTTTGCAAATGATTATGGTTTTATATACTGTAACTTATGTTTCAAGAGAAGTTATATTCTGCATTTGTATTAATTCTGTTTATCTGGAATTTGTATAGAGCCCAAGCCATTTACTGATGTCAGTATTGTTATGAGAACTGCAGGACATTCTCAAATATCTCGTATAAAGTAGGTACATATTCTTTTCCTATTATTGCATTATTTTTAAGGACCCAATACTAAGCTTGCTCATTTGGAAGTAAAGCATATTGAAATCAGTGGTACTTTTAAAAAAAGTGGTTAAGATCATGCTGTAAATAAAAGAAAGTCAAATGGCCACTTCCAACATTTGAGTCTAGAGGGATTCAAATTTGATACTGGGCTTGCATCATACTTCCAAGTTATGTGTTTTGACTGACTATCCTCTGAGACTGGTAAAAGCATGATTCATTGATGAAACAGATTTATATCTAATAATGAAGTGATAATTACATGCAGTATTGGAAGCTGCATTAACAGAATCATTTGCCAAATAATTAATCTTAATGCTGAGTAATGCATTTTAAGAAGTTTTTTGCCATAAAGCCAAGTAACTGAAAGGGGAATTTTACTATGGGGTTGAAAATATTGTTGTTACGCTGCCTTTGTAATGGGAAGAAGACAAAACTCTGGGGGCTGATCTGGTCCTTCGTCTACAGCAATTTCTGGTACAAAGTATTTTCTAATGCCAGCAAAAGCCATTGCACATTTTGGATGAGTAAACTGGAAACACAGTTCCATTCTCAGAATGCCTTGATTTCCTTTAACATATACCCTATGTTGACTACATAGGCATGTCTTAACATTGTCTTTAGTTAGTAAACATTTTTTTTAATTTAGCTTTTTTAATGGCATTTTCTATATTTGATATTTTTGACTATTTTGACTTATTACAAAATAGATTACTCCGACATCATAGTTTTGTGCTCTTTTTGCAGGTATTTTAAGGTCCTGATTCAAGAGATGGATCTCAGATTGGATCTTGGGTTTCTTTATGCACTGGCTGATTTTTTTACATTTTCTGATGAAGTACCCAAAGACCAAGAGGTAGGAACCCTTGATACCTGAAACATATTTTCAAAAGTGTAAAAATGCCTTTATTATATTTCTTTAAACACTATATTAATTATTCAGTAGCAAGGGATGGTTAAATTAAAGTGTGGAATAGTTGCTCCAGAATATATAAAACAAGACTGTGAAAATGTTTTAAATTCATTAAATAAAAAACAGGACATAAGATATGTATGTTTCTTCACATCATAATTACATTGCAATCCTAAGAACTGTTTCCTGGGAGTATGCTCCATTGAATAGATTTGAACAGTCAAGATTCCTTCCTTAGAAATGTAAAATTTCCAGAAATTTTGAAGCCATGGAGGACACATTTCCCCCCTAGAAAAAAATAGACATTTTTGGTAATTAAAGTGTACATAGTACTTACTTTCCTATTAAAACAAACTTATTCTGCATCTTAAACATCTTTGAGAGAGAGCGGCAAAATTCTACAACTTATGCTGTCTTTTAATTTTTAGGGAAAAATAAAAGTTGATATTAGAAAACTAATTTTGTAGTAAAGAAAAGCAAGTTTGTTATGTATACAAAAACAGTCTCATGAAGTCCCTGCCTATAATATACTTCCTTCCCATACCAAGATTGCCTTGTTTTCCTTATTTGAATGTTTCCCCTATGGTTGCCAACCTCCAGGTGGGCCCAAATTTTAATATAAAGTACTCAGAACAAATTTTCCATAAACAACAAGTAGAAATTCACTGGTAAAGCTGATCACAGGTAGAAATTCACAGGTGGAGTTTTTCCACAAACAATTTGTAATAAAGTCAAACTGTAAGGATGTAGTAGTGTCTCAGCCAGCTGACTCAATAGAACCCCAGTTCTAAATCCATTTCAATAATCCCCCCCCCGAATCATGCTGGATTTAACATTTCAAAGATACATGTAGACATCCATAAAGCATATTACAGCAATCCTCAGTGATTCCCAATGCAGAATCTATCATTTCTTGGAACCTCCCTTCAAAATTCTGAAGCATTTCACCATTTTCATTAGAGGGAAATGTTGAACCCAGCATGATTCTTGAAGAAAAACAATTATTGAAACAGATTTAGAACTGAGGGTCCATCGAGTCAGCTGGCTGAGACACTACTACATCCTTACAGTTCAAGGACTTTTTTGAATGTATTACGAATTGTTTGTGGAAAAACTCCATCTGAATTTCTACCTGTAATCAACTTTACCAGTGAATTTCTACCTGTTGTTTATGGAAAATTTGTTCTGAGTACTTTATATGTCTATTATTAAATTCATTGATTATTGGTCTCCAACAGCTAATTGAAAAATATGCTGACAAAAGCCCTACTTCTTTGTAGGCTGAAGGCTGCTTTCAATTCAATCTCAAGACAAAGATTATGGCAAAATCTTGAACGTTCCACCATAAATAAAAGATTGCTATATCTTGTTCGCGCCCTGCATGAGGAGTCATACCTCAGAGTGAGATATAATTCGCAGGGCTCACTCACTAACCCAATAAGAACTTTTGAGGGAGTTAGGCAGGGTTGCCTTCTGGCCCCTATATTATTCAACTACTATATTAGTGATATGGTGAAACACATGACAGACTTTAAATTCCACCTGCCAAAACTTGCCTCACGCCATCTACTGATTCTGCTATATGCAGATGATGCAGCCTTGTTATCTAGAACACCGCTAGGATTATGAAGGGCATTAGATTGCTTCATAACATACTGCAAGAAAGAACACTTGGTGATAAACTACGATAAAACAAAAGTGATGGCATTTGGTAGACATCCCAAGAAGTATCTGTGGATAATGAAAGGTAACAAAATTGAGCAAGTAAACAAATTTGTTTACTTGGGCATGGCCATTCAAGAATCGGGAGCTAACTCAGCACACTGTAATATGATGGTGGAAAAAGCTGAGAAAACAGTACACGCTATCCTGAGATTCTATCGATCTAAGGGAGGTCTGTACGTTCCAGCAGCTTTGAAGTTGTTTCAAACTAAAGTATTAGCGCAGCTCCTGTATTACTTGGGTATTTCTACCACTAATTTATGTGCGCTTGAGAAGGTTCAATCCAAATTCATTCGCAAGGTCTTACAGGTTCCCCCGCGGGTGCCAAATGCCTTTTTACGCCTAGAAACTGGTCTAATGAGAATAGAAGCCAGAGTATTATTATTCTCTGCATATCAATAGCTCAGGATCAATTCAAATACAAAAGGACTTCTCCCCCTAATAAATAAAGATTCTTATCAGCCAAGGTGGATCCGAAGGACCAAGACTAATTTAGAAAAAATGGGACTCTCGCCTGGGGATTTATTGGCACAAAATAGTATACAGGTGAGAAGTATAATTAAACAAAGGATCTAGAGCGCCAAGGGGATTTAAATTGAGCTCCTTCCTTCTCAGCCCACAATGATTCCAGATATGTAATGAATATGGCTAAATACCTGACTTATCTGGATGTGCCATCCTACAGAAGAGCTCTTACCTTGGCTCATTGTGCAGCTATTCCTTCTAAGGCCCTAGAGGGGAAATATAGAAAGATACTGTAATGATTCCTTGTTTTTGTGGGTGTGTGTCTCTTTAAAAGTTTGGTTGCATGGCTGTGGTAAGTAAGCTGACAGCTGAGGTAGTTCAGTGAGAAACAGAAGGAAAGCTGAGTGTATAGGAAAAAGTAAATGAAAGTTTAATTGAAGACAAGTTATAGGAAAGGCTGTATGTCCTGATAAACTGGAGAGAAACAGTGAACATATATGACCTTGAATTAAACAAGTCTTACAAAGTTACCTGAAAAATCCCTGTCAGTGAGGAATAAGATTGTGTGATACCAAAGCAATTGTTCATCATCTATACATTACTAGTTACATTGTACAACCCTCTTATTTAGTAGTTATTTCAATAAATCCTCTTTCATCCAAGTTTATACCAGCTCTGAATGAAATACTTCCCAGGACCACATAGATCCCTGTAAGCCTTGAACTCGGTCTACCAAATTAAAAAGAGCAACAGTAAAAGCATAAAGGTTTGGAAATCCTTAAAATTTCCTGGTGACAGCCGTATATACCCAGTAAAACAAAATAAAGAACACTTTTAAAGTGAAACCAGACCTCCAGAATAAGGAGGTTGTCAGATACCATATGAAGACAGGTGCTGCCCATGTTCTATGGGAGAAGTGGAATCAATGCTCCACATGTTCTTCCGCTGCCCTTTTCATCAAGCTTACAGGGACAAGCTTTTCACCCCCCTCTTAGATAGACCAGCACTTGATGCAGATAGTGCCAATCTTGAGAGACTTTTGATAGAGGAAAATCAGCAAATCTCTAGACAAATAGCTAAATTCTGCTCACATCTGGTAACATTCCACAATAAAGCAGATCAATCATAACCCTTATCTACTTTCCACACAACTCATAACTAGTTCAGTTGTAGATATATTTTTTTATACAATCGATTTTTAAACTTTAATGATTTTAAGGTGAAAGCAAATTTGAGCTGAAAGCAAATTTGTTTGTACATGATGAATATGTATTTCTTTGATCAATGGTCTTGGACTGTAAATAAACATTGATTGGTGTTAAAATTTGGGCACATGCACTTTTTTCTTGTTTTCATATATTGCTGTGCCACTGCCTTTCATCTTGTATCTTGAACCTCCAGGTGGAGCCTGGTGGTGTTCTGGAATTACATATGGATCTCCAGGCACTTTATAGCATATTAACTGCTGCCAACATAATTCACTTTTAAATGATAAAAGATCCTTTAAATATGTTCCATATGAATACAGTGTAAATAAGAGTTCATTATCTAATGATCTAGTTCAGGGGTGGCCAAACTGCAGCTCAGGAGCCACATGCGGCTCTTCCACACAGTCTAATTTAATGTTAATAAAAATCAAATTTGCATATTTTTCAATAAAAATGTTTGTGTAATATTTGTTCATGTCTTGCTGCTCTCAAACATCTGACATTTATTCTGTGTGGCTGTTATGTTAAGCAAGTTTGACCACCCCTGATCTAGTTTCTTAACTTTTTCATGCTATACAGTTTGAGTCAGTAAACTATTTCATTAATTATATTTAAAAAAAAGTTCATAGGAATTCAGAAAAAAATGAGGAAAAAAGCTCTCATCAAGGGAGTTTTTACAAATGTGTCCAGTTTTTTTCCTGGGCCTTCACATCTCTAATCAGGACAGAACATCCTTCAAATTAAGTAGAATATACTATAAATAAGATTGAGTTTCTAGTTGCCACAAATTACATTAGCTGTTTCTTGTTTAATAAAATATTCACAGATAGAACTTTTCAAAAAAGATGTAGAAGCTGTACAGGAAGAATTGAAGAATATATCGTCAACTGATACATCGCAAATCAGCTTGTATGAATATTTTCATATTTCTCCAATCAAGGTATGTTCATGTCATAATGTAATATTTGGATATTGAAGAATACAGACAAGAACAAGCTTGAATTTTAATGAGTTTATGTTGGATATTTATATGTATAGTCCTCCACTCCCCAGCACCTCCAAAATGAGTAGCAGATATCTGCTAAAATTCTAACAGTTGGGTTAATTTTTTTATGCAGGGCAAGAAAAGAAGCGTGAAAGGTCCAGTCTGCTACTTAGCAAAAGGTTTTCAGGAAGGGGTCATGTGTCTGTGGTAGAGCAGTTGTAAACAGCCGTAATGGCCAATGCAAAATCCAGAATAAAAAATAAAATCCATGTAATATCTTTTATTCAGATTAAACAACATGACACAAAACACTGTGCAAGCTTTTAAGCTCACCAGAAATCTTCATCAGGCCAAATGTTACAAAATAAAAAGAACTTGTTTAAAGGGGGGGGGGACATTTTTTTCTGGTCAAGACCTTGAGGCCTGATCTTGTCAGCATGTGGTAGATCCTGACAGTATTTTATTGCTGGTGGTGTTAGATTACAGCACTTGCAATCTATTTCAGTGACACAAGGAGAGCAGCTCTGACCACTGGTAGTGTTTGGGATGGGAAGGAGCCCAAGCAGCCACAGGCTCCCTCCCAACATAAACACTGCAGGTGCTCAGTTGCCCCCAAATAATTTGTTGGGGGAGGGGGGGTTGCTGGGACATGGAAGCCTGCTTTACATACCTGGGATTCCTCTCAGCACAAACCTCAGATAATTTGCCACCAGTTGCCCCCAGATAATTTGTCAGGAGAAGGAGACTGCTGGGACATGAAGCTTCTTCCCAGCACCTACCCTCTTCTTTCCCTCCTGACAGCTAGGAGGATGAAGTGAAAGAAAGGGAGGGGGAGCAGTGGCAGCAGCAGCAGCCCAAACACTGCAGTTCTCAGTGCCCTCAGTTCATTGTCTGCCCTCCTATTTTCCTTGTAGCAGGAAGGAGGAGGCAGCATGGTAAGGGGAGGCCAACAACAGCCCAGATATCACCCACACGTATACAGATTTTTTTACTTTTTCCCTTTCTGACATCTCCTCTGCCATTGCCCCAGGATTTTACCCTCTCTGTCTTCTTCCTCTCCAGCATCTCTGTCACCCACACCAATCACAGCATCCTGCGTTCTGTTTCCTGTCTATTGTCTGTACAATTTTAGACAAAGTTTCTCTGTTTTGGGAGTTTTTGAACCTCCTTCCCATTTTTTGTTTTGTTTTTATATTTACTGCAAATGTGGGAATTTTCTCCATTTTTGTAGAATGCCTTCTGTGTACATGGTCCTAATATTTGAATTTAATGAACTGCATTTGGAGCCATGTTGAGAGTTGGATATAATGATATAAGCAATATGGAATAACAAACTTTATAACCTTTAGGACTGGTTTCCCCCCCCTCAGTGTATTAATAGGTAGTTAATTAAGAAGCACAGAAATTCCTTGGCTAACATGTCATGTTTATAGAACAATTTGAGTCCGATGGCACCTTTAAGACCAACAAAGTTTAATTCTGGGTATAAACTTTGGTGTGCATGCACACTTCATCAGATACATTGCAGCAGTTTTCCTCAAGCCTTACATATAGGGAGGGGAGAGTTGCCAAGAAGGGCTAGTTAGAGTCAAGATTCATAAGTAACTGAGCAATAAATATAGCTGAGTGGATTAAAGCAGTTGTTAATGATGGCAAATTAGCATACGAATACAAGAGTTAACAAACAGATGTGAGAACTAAGTTTGCGTCCAGTCACACTTCCAAGACCAACAAAGTTCAGTTCTGGGTATAAGCAAGAATTAGTTCATGATCTGTATATTTATACTTCATTAGAGGGAAATATCAGGTTTACTGAAAAAAGGCAATATGGTTTGCCTGCTGAATAATAATTAACATAGCAGTAAAAATACTTATAAGTGCCAAGAGAATATTTAAGACACTCTGAATAGTCTCCAGCTTTTCAATTATTTTCTTTTAGTTACATTTAAGTTTTTCACTGAGTACTGGAAGAGAAGAGAACAACAAGGAAGAGAAACGCAACAACTTGATTCCAGTTCAGTCCTTAAATCTCTTGCTAAAGAGTATTGGGACCACACTCACAGATGTGCAGGATGTTGTTCTCAAGTATGTAGAATATACTGATTTAATTTATTTAATCAGAATAAATAGTACACAGTTTATATTTCATTTGGCTTCATTAAAGAATGGGACTGTGGGCTGATTGGTGTATGTATTATCCTCCTCCCTCTGCAGTTACATAATACAATTTTCTGCATCATTTAACATATAGGGTGTAATACTTTTTTATTTCAAAGTTCTATAATCCTACTAAAGTTGTATTGCTTATTAAGTGTCATATCCTATCGATTTAAACTGTGTAGTCAGCCTTGAGTCTCACTGAGAATGGCAGACTATAAATAAATAAATTGTATGCGATTGGCTGTTCTAGGTTGGCATACTTTGAGCTCAACTATCACTTCTGTACAACACAAGGACTACAATGGACTGTTATTATGCATTATTCAAAACAGGTTAGTATAAACTAATATGAAAGTATCACTTCATCCATCCTTCTGCATAGCTAGAATTGTGCACTTTTCTGTTCTATATATACACTGTTTACTGTGGAGTTGGAAGAGAGATACAGTTACTAGGATGGTGCATTGCATTGGTTGAATATGATGTGTGGCTATACTGGACTGAAGTGCAGTGCAAAACGCTGTGCTGTCACTGACAGTGGTACCTTTCATTCTGCAGTCATATTTCCAGATATTTGGTGACTCAAATCAGTTCCTTGGGCTATTTTGATCACTAATGGAGTAATCTTAGCCAGTCTGTTCCGAACCCTGCTGAGGTCAGTTCAAGGTGATTTACTCAGAAAAGTGTTCTAAGTATTGCTACAAAAAATTTCTGGTATGCCAGAAGAATATAGAGGTTGAACACTGGCAATCAGTTTACCGTGTGGTAGGATTTGCTGCCACATACTTGTTTGATCTTCTGTATTGTTGTGTTTTGGGGGATTTTGACCACGTGGTAAACCTCTTTCGAGGGGCTGCGGCCGCTCAAGTGGCTGAGACGCTGAACTGCAGGCTGGAAGGTTGGTAGTTCAGCACTTCGAGACCCAAGTGCCGCAAGACAGAGTGAGCTCCTGTCTCTGGTCCCAGCTCCTGCCAACCTAGCAGTTCGAAAGCAAGAAATTGCAAGTAGATAAATAGGTACCACTTTGGTGGGAAGGTAACAGCGTTCCGTGCACCTTGGCATTTAGTCATGCTGGCCAGATGACCACGGAAACGGGGATGAGCACCGCATCCCTAGAGTCGGATTCGACTGGCTTTCAAGCAAGGGAAACCTTTACCTTTACCTAAACCCCTTTCTACTTTTTCCACATGCTAACACAGTTGTCTATATTCAATCACATTTTGCAATTTTTTTCTGAATTTATTTTAGTAAGAGACTGTACATTCCCCATTCTCACCCCAGTACTTCAGGTGGCTTGATCAGCACATCAGATCTAAAGCAGTCATCTAATTAAATATAGTTTTTATTTGGCTGTAAAATCCTTTAAAATGATTTTTGAACAGCTTTTACATGTTTTAGGAATAAATTAACTGCTTCCAAGCAAATCTTTAAATTGTTGTTGCCTGTTAATATCTTATTGTAGCCAGAATTTTAGACTCTTTCACAAGTTAGACAGGGAGTCAAAATTGGCAAGAGAGCTCCAAAAAAATCCCTTATCATACAATAGTATATTGTAGAAATCATTCTGTTATTTTAGGGAACCGCCTAAATGAAGTCTAAATAGATGTTCTTTATTATCTAGTACTAAACCTGGACTACTTGAAAATACTTGGGAGTAGAGGTTCACCAAATGCTGCATGAAAATATTTTGTAGGCAAAATTTTTGTTTCGGGGAAGGCTCCCTGATCAACCCCATTTGCTTTTGGCACTGGTTGTAATAACCCCATTTCTTGGCTCTACTTAAGAATGGGCTTGGAATGCAAATCAAGAAACTGGTCTCACATTACCTTGATCTTGTGTATTTTGTATCATCCTAGTATTCACAGACGTTATATGACAAGTGAAGGAATCATTCATTTGCATCAGTGATGAGAGCTTCTGTAATTATGCTTAAAATATAAAATGCTTAAAATATAACATGTAAAAATGCTTAAAAATATATCCCAAAGAATCAGAGTAGCTGAGCTTTCTGGCCATACTGCATCATTCTTACTAACCCAGATATGATGTCCACATATTAAGTATGACTCTACATAAAGTGTAAACCAGCCATGTTTCTTGCACATCTTTAACGATTTTATAGCTCTCAGTTTCTATTACTTAAATTTATTTACTAAAGAGTTTACTATAGAGTGAACTCTTGTCTTGTTGTTTTTAACTTTAATTACAGATACAGTTAAAACGTTAACTATATAAACAGGATAACAGAAGTGAACCATTAAGAACTCATCCTAAGTATCTCTAAGTTATATGCTGTTTCTTTTTGATTTTTAATTGTACTTGCCATAGAAATAGATTCAACTATTTTTATTTTAAAATTGCTTTCTTTTAGGCAATTAAACAAATGTACGTTCTTATTCTTGGCCTTGATGTCTTGGGCAATCCATTTGGATTTATAAGAGATTTGTCTGAGGGAGTTGAAGCATTCTTCTATGAACCTTACCAGGTGAGCTCATTTTCTGGCTTTGTCAGCCCAGTCTTAGGGTTAGTCATATTGGGTGAAAGCTACCAGCCATTTTACATGAAATTCTGCAAGCTGTACAGATGGGTATTGAGTTGTCAGAGATTCAAGCCACTATAACAAGGAGAGAATTTGTGACTTTTCCCTTGTAATATTTCAGCAAGTCCTTTCTGCTTTGCTTAGTCAAATTGATTTATTCAGCACTTGAGAACCAGTGTCTCTGTAATAATTTTAGAGCATCAGACAAAGACTTGGAAGTCCTGGGTTCAAATCCCCATTAAACCATGCCATGCACTGAGTGATCTCAAACCAGTCTCTCTGTTAGCCCAAGTGACATCACAATGTTGTTGTGACGATAAAATGAAGGTGAAGTGGACAATATATTCTGCTCTCAGCTCCTCAGAGGAGCTGGATGAAATTATAACTGCCAGGCTTGATAGTGGTAAGGTGAGTTGGTAATGGAATGTGCCAGTCTTTTGCCATGTGTTAGATAGATCTCTTTATAGCTGTACATGTAACTTCATAAGCTGACAAGAATTAGTGGTCATGGATAACTTCCCTTTATAGGGCTAGCAGCATCCACATTGCTGTACATTCCAACAGGATGGAATATGTAGTAGTAGTAGTAGTAGTATGTAGATTCTCTAACAAAATAAAAAGGAGACTTTATGACCACCACTTCATTCTAAGAAATATAAAAATAGATGTGAAGTACCAAAGGTCAGTGTAGGTGTGCCAGATATAGTTATTCTATCCATTAGGTTCTAAGAAGATGCCCAAAGGCTGCATAGAGACAGCACTGTGGAAGAAGTAAACCTTTCATTCATACAGAATACTGTGCTACTACACCGGGGTGGGGTGGGGGGGCTGAGGATAATTTTTCTTGTAATAATAGGAATCCTATGGAATGTGGGGCAGGGCTTATAAGAATAGTAACACCTAGAATTTCTAGTGCTTAAACTGCTTCACATACATTATCATAACATGAATGCTTACAACATTCATGTTAATGTAGGCTAGTGTTATTATCTGCGTATTGGAGATCCAAGAATTAGTTTGAGAGAGAGAGAGAGAGAGAGAGAGAGAGACTAGCTTCCGTAAGGTCCTGTAGTAGATTTGAAGTTCAGCTGAGGTTTGAACTGGCAGCCTGCCAGATCACAAACTTATTATTTTAGGCACAGTGCTACACCAGCACATAAGGATACTTGTAAGATGTTGATTAAATATATATGAATGTATTTTATTTGGTTATTTAAAATATTCACCATCTTTGCAGTGTAATAAAAGTGGAAATCTACTGAAGATTAAGATTGATAAGGAAACTGTTTTTAACTGGCTTAAGACCCTGTTTGTCTTTTGATGCCAAAAACAACATCTGTGATAAAAATAACGAAGAGTCAATAAAGATAAGTTGCAAAAACATTTATTAAAGTATTTCTGTAGTTCGTTTCGCAATATATATAAACAAATGTTCACATTGCGCAGTATTTGTTAGTGTGTGAGTGATGACCGAAGGATATTCCTTACAGAACTGCAGGAATACTTTAGTAAATGTTCTTGTAACTTATCTTTATTGACTCTTCGTTATTTTTATCACGGATGTTGTTTTTGGAGTTCCACCTTTTCCCGTGATCTCTCATTTTGGCTTCCACTGTCTTTTGATGCCGGCAGATGACTGCCTTCCAACATACCAACCTTAGTAGGGGTGTGCATTTAGATCTATCCAAACTGAAAATCTACCCCCCAAAAATACCTTACCAACCCAAATGTATCTGGGTGACAGGGATGCCAAGGCAGGGGCATCTCTAACTCCAGAGACGGGGCCGGACTCATGGAACCTATGAACAGCAGGTCTGGAGAAGGCGATTGGTCTGCACGGCAGAGCTCCAACAGCGGAGAACCTTTGGTACCGATGATCGGTGCCGAGCCAGCTTGGAATGACTCTGGTCATTCGGTGCTGAGCGACTTTCTCGGCGCCGTGGCGAACAGCCTCTCAACGTCGAACGTGGTGTCGACGAATCACGGCACCAAGGCGAACGAGATCGTCGGCGCTGAGTCGGTGGCGAAGTGATGGACGCGACCCCTTCGGTACCAGCCCTTATCGGAGGCGAAGACCTCTCCTGCTGGTTTTTCTTTTTCTTGGCCTTTTTGGCTGGCGGCTCTGGGCCAGCTCTAGACTGGACAGCCGCTGGGGAGATTTGTGTTGTCACTGGTGCCGAGCACACTGATGGCGTCTCAACCTTCTCCCATTCTCCAGTGGATGACTCGGAAAGGGCCCTCTCCAACAGTGCTGCCTTCAAGCGGGCTTTTCTCCCCTCAGGAGCCCTTGAAGTAAGGGCCTTACAGGCGTTACAGGCAGCCATATTATGGGTCTCCCCCAGACAGAGCACACAAGCAGAGTGCTCATCTGTTTGAGCCATTTTGGCCCCACAGGTCTTACATTTCTTGAAGAGGGCCACTTTCTGTTTCTCTTTTTTCTTCTCTTTCGACGACATCTCTGAGGAGAAAAATTCTTCCCCTCAGCGACAACTCAGCTCGCTGTACACTAGTCCTCTTTCGATGGCGGCAGAAGGAGAACTGAGGGGAGAGGGTAGGCTCCGCCCAGGTCAGGTGGTATTTTGGGTGGGAAACCGCCTCCTGTACGGAGCCTGGCCCTCTTGGGATGAAAATTTGAGGGAAATGCTGCTAGCTCCTCTCGGTGGTAGGCCTGCAGTACTGCAGTCCCGTGTGTGCCTGCACAGAAGCCACTCTCAATGAACAACGATTATAGGTAAGCAACCACCATTTTACGTGTTGACCAGAAATTCCTTCATGGTTGTTTCAAAGAGTTCTCTTTGCTGACCATAATGGAGAATGCTTCTTCTTCCCAAGGCAGGATGGGTAGGTGTGTCGTGTGTGTGTCTTCATTAGCATACTGGTGCAGGCAGCACACTAGCATAGCAGCTTCCAAATGCAGGTAGACTCAAAGCAAGCAAACCACACAGCATTTCCCAAACCCATACACAAATGAAAGTACATGCCATACACACAAAGCATCAGCATAATACAAATAAAATACAATTATAAGCACCTTGGGCAACATGTTCTCTGTTTTTTCCTCAGCTCAGTTTTGAGGCTGAGGAGACTTTTTTCTAACTTATACCCTCTCCATGCATGAAGTTTCAAAAGGTGATATCCTGCTGGAACCCCCTACCAAGGGTTGTTTCTCACTCCTCATGTAATGCGTGGTCAGCATCCTCACACAACCCATTCTTGTGGGTCGGTTGATGCTATCGCAGTTTTTAGTGCATGGCCTTTCATTACCACTCTATGTATGATGGCTCTTTTTTTAATTTTAAAATTTTTATTAAGTATTATAAAAAGGGAGAGGGTAAAAGGGAAGGAGGTACAGAAGTAAAAGAATGATGCATACATTTATTTCTACATGTACTAATACAATATTAGTTCTACTTATATCTTCAAATAATTATTTATATTATATCTAATTACTTAAACCAAGACATTTCTTAACATCTGCATAGCTAAGTTGTTGCTTTTATATCAAATAAGTGTTTTCCACTTCCTAAAGAAAGTTATGATATCTTATTACCTTGTTAATTTTGATAGAGCATTTCAAATTAGTTAATCATAATTAAATTATATTAATTTCATAGCTATGGGTTCTCATATTCAAGCTCTTATAATCTCTTAAACATTTATTACAAAATTACTCTTTACTAATACAATTATAGATCCTTAGTGTCCTATCACTTATAAATAGCCATTTTATACTAAAAGCATTCTAAAGGTAGTAATTTAAAATATATCTTCTTAAAAAACAAACATACCTAATTCTAAAATATATTTCCTACACATTAAGATTTTCTACAATAACACATAGAAATGCCTTATGACTAATATTTCTTTGACACTTAATTTTAATATTAATTTCACTCAGATTTTGTCCTCTTGGATATCCTTAGCCATCCTTTACACTTACAGCAATACTGAATTAACTTACAATCACTTTACAAGGTTCTGAGCTTTCCAAAATACTAGGTGATAACTACCTTGTAGTATGTATTTCCCTTAACATTTAATTTTAAATTTCAATTTCTCTTAGGTTTTATATCATTAAGTCTCATTAAATTCCATTTTGAATGACATTTAACCTGCTGTAGCAGTACACCTTAAACAACCCCCCTCCTTCTTGAATTTCCGAAGCAGTACACCTTAAACAACTCCCCCTCCTTGAATTTCCGAAGTTTTTTCTTTGAGGATTGTGGGTTGTTCCTGTAATACTCCATTCCTCTCCTTGTTTGCTTACTATATCCAAAAAGAATGTGCTAGATGTGCTTGGAATTCTTTTCTGGTCCTCAATCTTGATATCTCGTGGTTCTTTTGCTTCAAGAGCTAAATTCTGCATTTTCACATTAGACAGTTTAGTCTCTGTTATTTCCACCTCCTCCAATGTCGGCTCTTCACTCAGATCTTTTGGTTCATTTAGGGACTGTTCCAACAAACGTACTACTTGATCAAATATGTGGGAAAGCTCCTGGACATCAACTGCTAAAAGACACAAATTACTCTGTATTAGTAGCATAGCTGTATTAAAAATGTCTTTTAATGTTTCCATTATCTCTTGGAGAGTAGCCATCATTTCCATGGAGCATCAGTCAAATAGCTAGACTATTTGTTTCCACAAAATACTCTTCAGTTTGCAATCAGTTAGATATATGTAGGACAGCACAGTCAAAATCTTCTAATGCTTATAGTCCTTTTAATGTTATTTCCTTTTGATTGACATCCGCTTCCAAATTGAGGGAGGAGGGATGATTGGGTAACCATCCCCCCCCCTTATAGATCAATCAATCAATCAATCAATCAATAAACCTTTAATGGCATATACAACCTTAAAAATCAAAGACAGAAAATGACACAATCAACTAAAAGTCTAGGTTAATTATAAAATCATGAAACAGACTTTCACCCCCCCCCCTTATCTT